TTTTTTGACCTTATATTTAAAAAAAAACTTTTTTAATAGTGAGGGACATTTGAATTATGTTCTCGCCTTTAATTTAGGAACCCATCTTTACTTCAGAGATCTTTGCTAAAAAATTCCCTGATAAAGTTATAATATTAGATACCATATTAATTCTATTTAATCATACTTACATGAAGTTGAATTGATATTTTGTGATTTGACTTGTAGAGTGTTAACTATTACACTATAGACTCACAGGTCTTATAACATGTAAATATAATAAATATAATTGTATATAATATAATATTAATAAAAAATATTATAAGATAGACTTATATTATAGATTTAAAAAAAATTATTTAATAGAAATATTAAAAAATTACAAAATAATAAATATAAAATTTTTATTATTTTTTAAATAAAACTTTAATTAAAATTCTTGCTTACTTATAAATATCTTTATTAATTTTATTTAAAATATGAATTTAATATAGAAAATATATAACATATTTTTAAATAATTAATAATATTAAAAAAAATTATTTGAAATTTAAAATTTATTAATTTATTTTTTAATTTAATAATAATTAATATTAATAATAATATTTTTATTATTATAAACTTTAATAATTGAATAAAAGTTTTTAATTAAAGTTTTAATTATATTTTATAATTTTATTTGAAAATTATATTTTAATATAATGAATATTAGAATTTTGAACCAAGTATCAAAATGGTATCAACTTGATACTGACTTATAAATAAATTTAATATATAGATTATAATCCATCAAATTAAACTTATTTTTTAAATTGTAATACAAGCAAATTTGCTTACATATTTAAAATTTTAAAAAATTTTAAATATCAAGTTTTATAACCTACTTATATTATAAAAAATATAAGGTATTCTTTATTAACTATATTAAGTAAAAAATTAAAATTTTATTGAAAATTTCAAAATAAATAATTTTAAATTTTGTATTTAAAATTTTAATATAAAAAATTATATAAAGTTTAGTATATATTTAAAATAAAAAAAATATTTTACTTCTAATACAAGTTAAAATTTTTATAATCAAATTATTAAAATTGTAATAATTAAAGTTATTCTTTACAAATAATTTCACAAAATTAATTATAAATTATATAAATTTTAACTTAAAAAATTTTCAAGTTTGACTAAGATCAACTTTTATTTAAAAAAAATTTTGCTTATAATTAAATTTTAAATTTTTATTAAATAAATAAAAATAAATATTATCAATAAATAATATATAATTAAAACCAATATTATATAAATTTTTAGAAAAATATTTTGATTATTTAAAAAATAAATAAAAAGTAACTTTTTAATTAAAAAATTTTAAACATTATAAAAAAAATACCTTATGATTTAAGAGATAGTAAATTCAATATTGACTTGATACTGAAATGATATCATTAGAAACTCTAGTTAATATTTTTCTATCTATTGAAATAAAATGAAATAATAACAGAAACTTTATTTTAATCAAAAATTCAAAATCAAAATTCGATTTTCAAGACTTATTTAAACTCTTTTTAATTAATATATTACAGAATACAACTTTTATTAACTTATTATTTATTCATTTTTTTTTTAATGTTAAATGAGACATTTATTAACTTATTATTTATATTTGCTAATATTTTTATTTAATATAAATATAATTTTCTAACTGTATTTCAAATTAATTCTAATTACTTAAACTATTTTATTTTTATATAGTTTCTATAGGCAAGCTAATATTTAACTTATTGTATCTACATGAGAGTTATTGTTTTTTTACAATATATATCTTTTATTATACAAATCAAATAAAGAAATGATATTTGCCTACAAAAAAAAATAAAATAAAAATAATAAGTTGGAAGATAGTTTGCAATTAATTTTTTAAAAATAAAATATCAGTTTGAATTTTATTATATATCAATTAATTTTATAAAATTATTAATAAAATATAAATGAGAAATATTATTCGCTAGAATTTTGAATTACCCTGCAATAGAAATATTAAATTTATATAATTAAAGAAATAGAGAGACCGAATCAAATTTTAAACTAGTAAAATTAATTATAGTGGGTTTTAAAATTGTATTGAAAATGGAATGAAAAGTTATTATTTACTCGAAAAGAATGTAACGTTTCGGTAAAGAGATCATAGAAATGAATTTCGGAGAGAAATGATTTTCTTGCATTGGCCAATAGACGCAACATGTAAAACGAGACGCCCAAACATAATAATTATTATTGAATCTAAATTAGGAATCACGGCGTACGGATAATCGGCTTTTAATCCGATTAAATTAACAAGCTCTTCCTACGTTAATCTGCATTCAAGTGAAATATCCGAATTATATAAATTTATATTGGTCGCTATGGCGTGATTCGGAAATTTCTTTTTAATACTGTGTAGGTGCGCTACACAGATTCTGCACGAGCAATTTCACGCAAAGACCATTTATAGGGCCAGTAAATTGGATCAGTCAAGCTAAAGAGAATTCACATGGACGTTAGATGTTATGTGTTGAATCCATCACGTGAATGGCGTAAATTTAATATTATTTTCTTACGCGATTCTCTTAGTTGACACATACAGTAAGAGGGGATGCGTTCAAAAAAAAAAAAATTTTTTTGAAAGGTAATTATTTACATAAAGATACCAATGTATTTCGCGCAAGAAAAGAGAATTAAACGCGTATTGTCGCCGGTTTAATATTCTGTACATACCCAATGTTAAATTCGTTGCCGGTATGTCTATGGCTTAGAAAATTGTGTACGCATGCCCATTAGACGACAATGTTAATGCACATTGATGCAGTCGAATTTGGTAAGATATGTTAATTCAGACGTCAAAAACCCAGATCAACCTGTTTTTGTTACACGGTTTTTTTCGCGAATTATGATTTTAAATAAATAATCATATCGCCGAAACGAAAATTATATCTATAAACTTACTATTAAAATGACTGAACTCGTCGAAGAGGTTATAATAGCGTTGAAGGGAAATGGTATGTTTTCATCAACTTTGCAGATTAATAAAGAACTTAGAATTCATTGTTAATTTCAAGTACGTTGTAAAATGGTCAGACCTTGACAAAAAAGTAGACTCTTTAGCAAAACTCGAAGAAGAACTCCTTGAAGAAACGCCCCTGGAGGTCAGTAATTTTCGCGCATCTAGCGTCATTATGAGTCACTCATTGTTATACAATATTTTTATAAATTAGCCCCAAGAAATAATCCAGTTGATACCATCTTTACGAGATGCATTACGAGGATCCCAAATCGCAGTTTCTTATGCGGCGCTTGAATGCTTAAATCCCTTCGTGTCTTTGATAGCAGCTACACACCCAGGTCAGCTAAAAAATGTAATAACCGCTTTTTCTCCGGCAGTGATTGACAAGCTAGGCGATGCAAAAGACAAAGTGAGGGATGCCGCTTTACAAATACTGCTAACAATGTACAGTTCCGCATCGACGATGAACAACGGTGCCAGTATCACAGCAATATTAGGAAAAACGATCAAGGAAACAGCTTTTGGGCATAAACAGTGGAGAGTAAGGGAGCAGGTACGCATCAAAGTTTCAAAATCACAAATTCAGACATTCAATCTAATTTCTAATTTGTTTTAATTCACCGTAGATTTTACAGTGGATAATAGTATGCACGCAGCAGAATACAGATATTACACTCAGGCAATGGGTACCATACATAGTAAAACTATTAGAAGATCCCTATGAACAAGTCAGAGAGACTGCAAAGGATATGATAGTGTTACTTTTCAGGTAAAATATTGTTTCTTCAGATACATTCAAATGATCGATAATTAACCCGATTATCTTAATAACTTTAGAGATGCTCCAGCTCATGCCAAATCTGACCTAAAACGGGAACTCAAAGATCAATCTATTCGCCCTGGTATTGTTGATTATATTCTTTCAAAAGTTGCTGGAAACCAATCACCAAACGATATACAGTATGATAGGCATTTTGAGAACCACCATACGAATGGTGGAGCCGAATTAACTGAGGATGATTATTCTAACGGAGAAACCGAAAATGAAGAAGTTTCCAAGCCTAGTGAATTCATATCAAGACAGACTAACTCAGCCGATAGTGACATTGGATCTTTGCAAGTACGTCTCTCTATGATGCTTGTTTCGAGGATTTTTTTATTAATAACTGATTAACAATATATTTGTATAGGTTGATAGTGCTAAGGAACTAGAACGTGAATTTCAAAATTTACTCACGCCTTTTCAAGGAAAGGAGTCTGAACAAAATTGGTCAGTTAGAGAAAGAGGAATTAATAGAATGAGATCATTGGTTAGGGGAGATGCATTTACGGATTACCCTGAAGCGTTCATTAATGGATTGAAAATATCCATCGATGGCATCTTAAAATCGGTATAATTAAGTGTAACCAGTTTTGTTTGCAATTATGTCGATTTTAATGCTTATTAGAATTTTTAATACAAATAGCTTTTGAGTTTAAGAACCACACTCTCTTTGGCTAGTGCCGGACTTATAAGGGACTTGGCAACACATCTAGGACCGGCCATAGATCCTTTTGCTGACAATATTCTAGCCGATCTTATAAGGATGGTTTCTTCCACAAAGAAACTGGTGTCACAAGCCGCCGCGAATACTGCAAATGATCTTTTGCAACGCGCTTCTTACCATCATCGACTAATTACACAGTTATGGCATGCAATGGAGGATAAAAACATACAAGTAAGAAGCTATGCAATTGGTTTTGTGAAAACTGTAATAATATCGCACGGGGATAGAAGGGATGTAATGGAAAGAAGTGGAGGAGCTGAAACTCTTGAAAAGTGCGTAAAAAAAGGTTTGACTGATGCGAGTCCGAAGGTAAGAGAAACATGTCGTGAAGTCTTCTGGGCCTTTTATGAGATTTTTCCTGATAGAGGAGAAAGGTAGGTGAATTAAAATTAATTATTTCGTTCATTTAGGCTAGAGAATGGTATAATCAGTTCTTATGTGCATATCTAGGATAATGAAAAATTTGGAGCCGGCTGTTAAAAAGCAAGTTGAACGTGATCGACCTAAAAATTTGGTAATATCAACACCAACAACAAATGTAAGCCCAACCAAACGCCCAACCACTCCATCCCCTAAACGTCCAACCACCCCGTCTCCCAAACGACCAACCACCCCTTCCCCTAAACGACCAACCACTCCATCCCCTAAACGACCAACTACTCCATCTCCTAAACGACCAACCACTCCTGGGCCTAAACGTTCTACAACTCCTGGGCCTAAACGCCCGGTAACTCCAGCGTCACCCTCAGAGGAACGAAACAAATATTCAAGTATGGGGAATTCGAAGAGAAGATCCAGTTACGCTGCTACATCTTCAGATAGTGGTGCAAGTGACAATTATTCGACACAATCAGAGAAGATCACTAGAAAGGTTACCAGGGAACAACCTAAATTAGCGACCAAACCTTCGTTGCGATCCAAGTCTCCAGCCCCCCCCTCCATGGCAAGGAGCAAGTCAGAAAATCCATCACCTGAAGCAGCCTTACGTCCGAAATCACCTTTTTCTCCACAAGGAAAGCGTATTTCGCAAATTCCACCAGTTCCTCGAAAGTTAACTGTCATCGAACAACTACAGCATGTAGAATGGTCAACTCGTGTGGAAGGTATATTGAATACAGCACAACTTATTGTAAAAAGATCTTTGGACTCACCATACGGAAAACAAGGAACCGTTGATCATGGAAAGTTGACTCTTCCACCAGACGACGTGTTGAGTTCAGCGTTAATTAACATGTTATATGATCCAGACTCTAAAGTAATTGAGTCCTTTTTCAATGAAAATGTCTTTAAGGAATTATCAAAAGTTATTCAACTTGAACAGATGATTCCAAAAGTACTGTTAATCGCAAGGGACGAGGAAAACCCTGATAGAGCAGCAATGATAAATCACTATCTTCCTAGCATAAAATCGGCGATTAGCACCGATAAAATACTAGCCGTTCTTAACAAGTGTCTAGTATCTATAGGAAACTTTGGAACTAACATCAAAAAACCATCAGGATTTACTACACCTCAAAAACGTAAAATTTTAAATGGTATTCTAACTTGGTTCAACGAGGTAGCCTCAACAAAGATAAAAGAAGCAGAAGAAGGTCATATTAAGGGTTATTTAGGAGAAGAAGATAAATATAAACTGACTGTTGAACACGTGATTTCCTTTGTACCATCAATTAAAGAAACATCAGAGAACTACGAGCCACTTAGCGACTTTCTAATTACTTTACATAAGCTCAATGCTGATATTTTTGAATCAGTGTTGTTTACATTTGATAGTAAGGTTCTTGATATTGTGGGTAATATAATCGGATGGGAAGAAGAACTAATGGAGGCTGAGGAAGAATTTTTAGCAGAGGAGCAAGAAAGGTTACTAGAGGAGAAAAGACGACAGGATGAGGAACAGCAGGAGGCAGAAAAGAGGGCACATGAAGAGATGATTCAAGGACATCAGTTACAATTACAACAACTACAACAGCAAAAACAAGAGCAACTGGAAAGGAAAAAAAAAGAACGCGAAGTACAACAACAAAAAGAACGCGAAAGAGAATTGGAAATTCAACGATTGCAAGAAATTGAACGTGAACAAGAGCTACAAAGAAAACATGAGGTTGAGATGCAACAGAAGCGCGAATTAGAAAAGCGTGAACAGGAATTTCAAGCCCAGATGCGAGAATACGAACTTGAATTGCAGCAACAGCGTGAACAACGTGAACAACGTGAACGAATTTTGCAACAACAACGGGAACAGCGGGAACAATGGGAGCGAGAGCGAGAACAACAAAAACAACGCGAGCAGGAATTAATCCAAAAACAAGAACTTGAACTTATAAAATTTGAGGAGGAATCGCAATTACAACGCAAACATGAAGCCCAATTGAAACGAGATCAAGAACTTCAATTGAAACGAGAACGCGAAATTCAGCAGGAACACGAGTCAAAACGAGAATTTGAATTTCATCACCGGCGTGAATTGGAATTCGATGAGCAATATGAGCACGAAATGACTGAAAAAGAAATACAAAATTGGGAATACGAGAGAGGAATAGATAAACAAAATATGTTATTACCAAGAAAATCAAATCTCCAGAGGATGGCGTCTCAACCATCACTTAGACAAAATCAATATCGGAATTCGATAAAAAATAGTAATGTGAATGATTTAGTCGAAAACCAAAGAGTATCTCAATTGTCACCAAATGGTACTCCTCAGGGTTCAAAAGATGATGGTGCATTGTGGGACAATGAGAAATATGAGAAGGTGATAACGCAGAATAAAAATTTACCAAGGGATTTGGAGTTTGAAGATAGAATAAATAGGCTTCGGCAAAGAGATACCATAGAAAACTTTAATGAAAGAGGAGATCGTTCATTATCTCGAAACAGTAGGGATTCTGAGTGGTCTCAACGATATTCGCCAAGAACTCCTTGGGAAAATGACTTTGACGAGAGAAATGAAAGAAGCAGGTATCGTTCACCCAGGGATTATGAGGAAAGTGAAAGGGACTCTTCACGAGATTCGGGATACAAAAACATGAAATCCCTGAATAAAGATGAACAAATTAATCAAGATACACCTAAGTTTAGGGATAATAATTTGACGGAAAAATCAGATAAAGAACATTTGAATGAAAATCATTATAATGATGTTATTAGTGAGAAGGACATTAATCAAGTCAAACAAATGGAAAGTAAAGTAAAACAAACGCATGAGGTACCCTTGAATAACGTGGTCTCTCTACCGACTATTCCACGTGAGTATAAACTTTCCGACTTTGATGAACGAGATCCGGAGTTGAAAAATCTTAAGGAGCTCGTGGAAAAATTAGATGCTGAAGAAAATGATTTGGATAAGGTGAATATACATACATTATATTTTCTTAATGCTGTGCCCTTAATACTGATTATATCATATGCGTTAGGAAAATGTACCAGAAAATTTTGTCGATGCGACTTTACATAAGCCGATGAGCATAGTAATTTCAGAGGATACCTGGAAATACCTCGGAAGCACTTTAAACGGAAATATTAACCCGTTCTTCGTAAACCCCGAAGATCGATATAAGAATGGAGGAGTTGTTGACTCTACGTTGACACCCATAAAAGAAGTGGAAATGCCCGAAGTATTCCAAATCTCTGAAAAACCAAATCTCCAAACGAATACTTTATCGAATGAATCCTATAATAAAATTTCTTCAAAATTTGAAGAAATATCGGTTAATCAAAATGATCATGCCGACATTACCTTACCTTCGCCATTAGTATCAGAAATTAGTAATGGTGCCTCCAATATCTTTCCGCCTGAAACAACAAATGGAATAATGGGCACGCATAATCGCGCCATCATGTCCAGTGAAAGTAACTACTATTACAACTTTTATAACTGTACGTTTCTCCCTGCAGTCGTATTAATGTTGATCTTTTTTCTTTAGGGATGCAAACCGGACTGCCATTGCTAAAATATATTCAAGAGAAACGATTACTTCTCGTAACTAACTTGGCCCGTCTAAATAATCACGATGTGGATGATCTTGTTTTTCGTAATCTGACTCGATTGTCTAAGGAAACGCCACTTACTAACAAAGAACTCGCTGACGATATCTGGGAACATGGCGAAAGATTCGGTGAACTAATTACGGCACTAATAGGTTTTTTGAGTGATCCCTTTCAGGTTTTTTTCTTTATTAAAGCTTTTTCGGTTTTGTTTTTTAAAGGTATCTTTGATAAATAACAATCGACTTTATTTCCAAATTAGAAAAATGTCGGATTTAAGGATAGTGCTTTGATACTTCTTGGGCAACTGCTTATCAATCAGTTTGATTATGCGTCTGATAGACGCCTTGAAAGAGATATACTACATGTTTTACTAGAGTGTCGGGCTGAAAAATCGAACGGTGTAAGTAAATATTAGTATAGATGGTTTTTTGTTTATTCTAATTATTTAACGTATTTCTATCGATGTGAAGACTTATATCCATGCAGAGGAAATTCTTGAAAATTATATTCGAGTCGTCGACAGTAATGGCGGTTTGTATGCTCTCATTGATATAATGGAATCAAATCTATTTGGTGCAACTTCCCAATCTAGTGCACAATCTGGAATGAAACAAGGTGCATTTTCTGCACTAAGTTGGTTAGTTAAAAGATTTGATCAAAAGTCTTTAGAAAGACAAATAGGAATAATTGTTCCATTGACTCTTAAGGTGAGTATTTTTTTGTTTCTAAAAAGAAAATTCATTATCATTCATTAATTAAATCTGTTATCATTACAGGGGATTAATGATCCAAAAGCAGAGATAAGAAAGTCTGTTGTGGATTCCCTTGTAGCAATCTATTCAGTAATTGGAGACGATAATACTCTATTCCAATACCTTGCTGGCCTCAATCCTTCACAATTAAACCTACTCAATTATTATTTTGACAGAAGTCGTAATCAGCAAAGAGAAAGTATCGCGGCACGAGGAGTGCCAGCATAGTTTGCTAATATACTTAATTATTTAGTTGCATAAAATTTTTTTGCAATTTTCCGATAGATTCGAAGACTAGAATCTGTTCCTAATTTAATAATTATAAGGTTAGCAATATAGTATAGGTGAGACTAACAAAATAACTGTCCCTCAACCTAAATTTTTGATTGCAATAACTAGGACTATCCACAATTCATTTTCCATAAATCCCTGCATGATTTCGAAATATCAAAACTTATAAAATCAACAATCTTGAACTTTTCAAAAATACAAGGACTTCCGTTCCAAGTATTTTATGTAAATTTGATCAATTTACCCTTGTTTCATTGCAGAAAATTGTATTTTTATATGTAATAAAACCAGAATGTTTCTTAAGATAGAATATTAATATATTCCAAAGAATCACGATGACAATAAAAAATATCTATCAGTACGACAGAAAGTAGTAGCAAAATAAGATTTATTAATTTAAATGAAGATTCAAGTTTATAAAAGTAAATTTTATTTTAAATATATAAAATTATATTATATTACAATAGTAAATTTTATAAAATAAACTTACAAATTAAATCTATTTTTAATTATTGTAAGTTTATTATATTGTATAATATTAATTATATTTGTTTATTATTTATTAACCCATTATATTTTACTTATTACAGTATATAACAAACTTGTTTTTTAAATAATTTCATTATTTTATAATAATATAATATTTATAAAATGATATAAATTTAATTTAATAATTTACAGCATATAAAAAAATTTTTTTAATATATTAAAATAATATTATTAAATAATAATTAAAAAAAGCAATTAATATATACATATATATACAGTATATATATATTCTTGTTTATTTTATATTCTTTAAAAAAGTTTTTTTTGAAAAATATTTTTTCAATATAAAAAAACATTTTTAAAATACAAAATATAACAAAGAAAGATTTTTTTGTTAATAATATTATACTGTACTCTTTGAAAATATAATTTTTATAAATAAAAAGCTATAAGATTAAATAAATATTTTAAATAGTAAAATTTTCTTAATAATAAAATTAAACAGTATTTTTTATATAATTAAAAGATATTGGTTAACAATGTACAAAAAATAATAATATTTAAAAATTAAATAAAAAGTTATTTTTAAAGTTTTAATTGATATTATTTAATATAATATTTTATAAAATAATTATTGAAAATTTTTAATATAGTATTTTAAATATTAATATTAAACTGTAATATTAAAATAAAAATTCAATTTAACTAATATAATATAATCAATATTATGGATCTATGGGTCTATAACTCAGTGGTAAAGCTCCATAGGTCACCAGGTGAAGGTTCTAGGATTCAACCCCACCTGGTTACAAAAATTTATCACCTTTATGATTGGTTGACCGGCTTCCAATTCATGTCGCATCCAATCAGCCACAAATTATCTTCCAAAATTAGTTAGGCTGCATGAAGATGGGATCTCTGGTCTTCCCGACGATCGCGGGCTGAAAACTGGTCGAAGCAAGGAAGGTTGCACGAGGAAAGGCTTCTGGTCTAACTCCGGTATAAGCCCACAACTCTAACCAAAACT